GGCTGGATCCACACAGAGGCAGTGCCAGAGCCTGCCCGCACAGGGCCCCTCCCAACTCATCGATCCATCAATCAATCAATCAATCAATCACTCACACCCCAACCCATCAATCAATCAATCACACCCCAATCAATCAATCAATCGATCAATAACACTCCATCAATCAATCAACCAATCACACCCCAATGAACCAATCAATCAGTCACACCCCAGTGCATCAATCAATCACATCAATCAATAACTCCCCAATCCATCAATCCATCAATCAATCAATAACACCCACCCCATCAATCAATCAATCACACCCCAATCAATCAATCAATCCATCACACCCCAACCCATCAATCAATCACACCGCAACCCATCAATCAATCACACCGCAACCCATCAATCAATCAATCAATAACACTCCATCAGTCAATCAACCAATCACACCCCAACCCATCAATCAATCACACCCCAACCCATCAATCAATCAATCACTCACACCCCAACCTGTCAATCAATCACACCACAACCCATCAATCAATCACACCCCAATCAATCAATCAATCACACCCCAATCAATCAATCAATCACACCCCAATCAATCAATCAATCACTCACACCCCAACCCATCAATCACTCACACCCCAACCCATCAATCAATCAATCAATAACACTCCATCAATCAATCAACCAATCACACCCCAACCCATCAATCAATCAATCACACCCCAACCCGTCAATCAATCAATCACTCACACCCCAACCTGTCAATCAATCACACCACAACCCATCAATCAATCACACCCCAATCAATCAATCAATCACACCCCAATCAATCAATCAATCACTCACACCCCAACCCATCAATCACTCACACCCCAACCCGTCAAGCAATCAGTCAATAACACTCCATCAATCAATCAATCAATCAATCAACCAATCACACCCCAACCCATCAATCAATAACACTCCATCAATCAATCAGTCAATCACACCCCAATCCATCAATCAATCACACCCCAATCAATCAATCAGTCACACCCCAACCCATCAATCAATCACACCCCAATCAATCAATCAATCGATCAATAACACTCCATCAATCAATCAACCAATCACACCCCAGTGAACCAATCAATCAGTCACACCCCAGTGCATCAATCAATCACATCCCAACCAATCACATCCCAATCAATCAATAACTCCCCAATCCATCAATCCATCAATCAATCAATAACACCCCAATCAATCAATCATCAATCACACCCCAATCAATCAATGGCCATGCCCTACCACACCACAGCGCCTCCCTGGCCCCACCCAATCCCTGCCCCGCCCACTCCAGCCCCACCCAATCCCTGCCCCGCCCACTCCAGCCCCGCCTCCCTCCCCAGGGGCAGATCCCCGGGGGGCGTACTGGTCCATACTGGGAGCCCTGGTCCGTACTGGTCCATACTGGGAGCCCTGGCCCGTTACTGGTCCATACTGGGAGCCCTGGCGAGCCCTGGTCCATACTGGTCCATACTGGGAGCCCTGGCCCGTACTGGTCCATACTGGGAGCCCTGGCCCGTACTGGTCCATACTGGGAGCCCTGGCCCATACTGGTCCGTACTGGTCCATACTGGGAGCCCTGGCCCGTACTGGTCCATACTGGGAGCCCTGGCCCATACTGGCCCGTACTGGTCCATACTGGGAGCCCTGCAGCTCGGCCCCCGTTCCCCCTCCAGCACCACTCGGAGCCCGCGGATCTTTCTGGAAAGTTTTTAATCAGAACCTGGAAAATCCACGGCAGAGGGGGCGTGGCCTGGCTTTGGCCCCTCCCCCGGAGTGTCCCCGCCCCCAGGGGCGGTGCCCAGGGCGGGGCTACAGCAGGACAAAAAAAGAGGGGGGGGAGGAGGGGACGCCCCACCCCCACCCCGGAGCCACCCCCGGCAGCAGCAGCGCCCCCGCCCCTCCCCCCCCGGGGCCTTCCTGAGTGCGGGGGGAGGGGACAGCCCTGTCCCCAAGGGGGGAGGGGACACCGGCATTCCCCCGGGGGGAGGGGTCGCTCCCCACCCCCCCTAAGGCCACCCCCGGACTGTCCCCGTGTCCCCCCCCGTAAGGCTCAGGGACCCCCGGGTGACCCGGGATTGTCCCCACGTGGCCCTGGGCCACCCCCGGCAGTTCCTGAGCCACCCGGGATGTCCCCGGGCCACCCGCGGTGTCCCGACGTCCTCTCGAGGCCCACCACTCCTGTCCCCGCAGGTCCCTGTCCCCAGGCGAGCCTTGCTCCCCCCTCCCAGCAGACGCCCCCAGGTCCCTGGGCCACCGGGATGTCCCCAAGGGCCCACCCAGGCTGTCCCCACGAGGCCCCAGCTCCATCCAGGGGGTCCCCATGAGACCTGGACCCCGCTCAAGGTGCAGCCAGGTGACCCCGGCAGGTGCCAGGTCCAGCCACGATTTCCCCCAGCTCCATCCGGAACATTCCTGGACCCACAGAGGGTCCATCCAGGGCTCCCAGGTCCATCCCAGATCCATCCAGGGGTTCCCAGGTCCATCCAGGGGTTCCCAGATCCATCCAGGCCATCCCAGGTCCATCCCAGGTCCATCCTGGCCACCCCAGGAGCTCCTGGGTCCATCCAGGCCGTGCCCACCAAGGCCTGGAGTGCGCTCCAGGTCCCTCCAGGTGATTCCCAGATCCATCCAGGAGCCCCTGGGACACCCAAGGTCCGTCCTGGCGCTGCCGTGTCCCCCCGTGGGCGTCCCCAGCGTGTCCGTGGCTCAGAGCTGGAGCTCAGCGACCACCTCGGAGCCATCCTGGGTCACTGTCCCTGTCCCCAGAGCTCAGTGGCCACCTCGGAGCCATCCTGGGATGCTGTGTCCGTGTCCCCAAGAGCTGCAGCTCGGTGGTCACCTCGGAGCCACTCTGGGTCACTGTCAATGTCCCCAGAGCTCGGTGGCCACCTCGGAGCCATCCTGGGTCACTGTCCCTGTCCCCAGAGCTCAGTGGCCACCTCGGAGCCACTCTGGGTCACTGTCAATGTCCCCAGAGCTCAGTGGCCACCTCGGAGCCACTGCTGGGTCACGTCCCATGTCCCAGAGCTCTCCCCAGAGCTCAGTGGCCACCTCGGAGCCATCCTGGGTCACTGTCAATGTCCCCAGAGCTCAGTGACCCTCGGAGCCACTCTGGCTCACCGTGTCCCCAGAGCCACCCCGGAGCTGTCCCCGGCGTTCCCCCCGCGGTCCGTGCCAGCCGGGAGCCGGCGGCCGCGGCTCAGAGCTTGAGCTCGTTGGCCACCTTGGAGGCGATGTTCTTGAAGGCCATGGAGGTGCCGGCGATGCGCTTGAAGCGGACGCCGTTGAGCGAGAGCCGGGGCAGTTTGCACACCTCCATCTCCCACTGCACGAAGGAGTCGTGGCCGGGCGCGCCGTGGGCGCAGAGCAGCACGAAGCGCTCCTGCGGCTCGCAGCGGCAGCTGTTGGCGTCCAGCACCTTGCGGATCTCGCGCAGCATCTCCCCGGGCTCCAGCGAGCTCGTGGTCTTCATGCTCCACGTGAAGCGCAGCGAGCGCGGCTTGGCGTCGCGACCGGCCTCGCGGGGGTCCTTCTCGGGGCCCACCGGGTCAGTGGGGTCTGGGGAAAAGCAGCACCCCCACCCCCCCTCCCCAGCTCTGTGGGGACAGAGGGACAGGAGGGGACATCGGGGGTCCCCAGTGGGACATTCAGGGACATTGGGGGTCCCCAATGGGACATTCAGGGACATGGGGGGTCCCCAGTGGGACATTCAGGGACATGGGGGGTCCCCAGTGGGACATTCAGGGACAAGAGGGGACATGGGGGGTCCCCAGTGGGACAGGAGAGGATGTGGGGGGTCCCCAGTGGGACATTCAGGGACAGGAGGGGTCCCCAGGAGGACCAGTGGGAGGCCAGGGGGGACAGGAAGGGACACGCGGGTCCCTGAGGGGACAGTGGCAGGGACAGGAGGGGACACAGAGGGAGGAGAAGAACAGAGAAGCCTCGAGAACACCGAGGGGACACCCTGAGGGGACACCCTGAGGGGACACCCTGAGGGGACACCCTGAGGGGACAGAGAAACACAGAAGGCATCTGGGGACAAGGGGACACCGAGGATCCCTCACAGGGGACAAACAGAGGGGACAGAGAATCCCCGAGGGGACACCGAGGGGACACCGAGGGGACAGGCCAGGACACACAGAGGAACAAACCAAAAGGGCACAGCGAGGGGACACCGAGGGACAGCGACAGCCCAGAACACACCGGGGGGACACAGCGGGGGGCACGGGGGGCGCGGGGACCCCGCGGCTCACCTGCGCACGAACTTGGAGGTGAACTTGCTGAAGAGGCTGGCCGAGGGGCCGCGCCGGCCCTGGCTGGCGCCCGAGGGCGAGGCGGGCGGGGGCAGCCCGGGGGGCAG